TGCCGTGGGCGAGATTTCATTGACTCCCTAATCCCGGGTCCCCCAAGTGCCGGGCGGGCGCTGTGTCAGCACCACGGGATCGCTCCCGAGAGGAAACGGCCGGGGGGGGGTCCCGTGTGTTTGTCATCCCGAGTCAGCTGCGGGGCTCCCGGGAGCAGCGGGGACCTTTTTCCTCATTGCGCCAGTAAGGGGTGTGTTAATTGTAAACTGAAACCCGAGGGAGCCTCTGGCTCTCTCCCCTTCCCCCACCTCACCTTGGCCGGGGGTCAGGGTCGGGCACCGCGGGCAGGTGACATTTTCTGCAGATCCGGCTTTTTGTGTCTCATGTTCTGGAGTGGGACACCAGCAATTCACCTCCCTTTGGTTTAAGCTGGTAAGCAGACACGCCTGATTCCAGCCAGGAAAATAACACAGGCGTTCTTCACCTCTACACCTGGGCCAGATGTTACAGAGTTCCCTGAGATCCGGCACTACCCGTGAGCAGTGGAGAGGGACTGAGGCTCGGGAGGAGTTTTGCACCTTGAGGCTAAAATTGCCAAGGGTAGGGGCCCAAGGGGGAAGTTTTCAGCCCTCCTGGGAGAGGTGGCACCGCTGAGAGAGCGAGGAGACTTTTCTGGAACACCAGTTACGTAAATTGCCCTGGGATCGGTGCCATCCAGGTTAGAAACCGGCTTCCTCCGACCTTTGCTTTCTGAGTCACGGAGCAGAGGTGCTGTCACCACACTGGTGGAGGCATCAGTCCTATTGTTGAGGGATTTGTGGTTTTTCCAGTGTGTTCTGGGAGGATTGGCCGTTTGGTGCCCCTTGTCCCAGCCCACTGGAACTCGACCGTGCCAGGGAAATGTGTGGGAGTGGGTGGCAGTGGGAGCTTGAACTGATCCCCTGTAGGAGCCAAGTCCCTCTGTCCTGGGGACTGAGCTTTGTAAGACTTTTTCCTTCTTTTTTTTTTTTTTATTTTTCCCCATTCTGTTTATATTATTCTGAATATTGCTTATGTAGTAGAAAAACTTCACTGGGTCACAGTACAAGCGCCGGAGGATGGAGTTGAATGACACAGAAATTCCCCCCTGGGAGGGTGGGGAGGCTCTGGCACAGGTTGCCCAGAGAAGCTGTGGCTGTCCCATCCCTTGGGAGTGTCCAAGGCCAGGTTGGACAGGGCTTGGAGCAACCTGGGCTAGTGGAAGGTGTCCCTGCCCATGTCCTTTCCAACCCAAACCATTCTGAGATTCCGTGCTTCCATGATTTCATCCCCATAGTGATGGATCTGTCATCAGGGCTCCACTTTGCTTTAAATTCTTCTTTCATTACACAAACGTACAGCAACGCAACTGACGTGGGATTACGCCAAACTCAACCACTTCAAGCTAATTATTTTTGCCTGTATCATTCTTTACTGAGCAGGGAGCTATTCATGAGTAACTCCTTCTCAAGCATCGTAGCTGCACAATGCAAAAACTGTGATCAAAAGACAAGGGAGGCAGCCGAGTGACTGTCTCTGATGTGCTTTGTGCAGAGACTCCTCGGTCTGTTTGGGCTACAGGAGTTCTTTTGGAGATCTCTATTATTGCACAATTATTTCCTTTCTCTGAACTGCAATAGGCAAGATCCACACATTCCACTTAATAATAATAATCATCATCATCCTAATTTAAAAATGCCTCGTTCTTGCGTCAAACGGGCAGAAGCTCTGGGGTGAAGGGTTTCTTCCCTCATTCCTCCCTGCCTGAGTGCTTGACTGTTCATCAGGGCTGGGTGAAAGAGCATCTCTGGGTGCCTGGCACCCAGGTTGTGTTTTGGGCATCTCAAAAATGACTAGTCAAAAGGTCCAGAAATAGCAGCAGAGCTGCTGATAACCCAGGGGGGTGACTTGTGCCAGTGATGTAACCACAGAGCACAGCAGGAGTGGGCACCATCCCCACGGTCCTGCCAGGGCGCCACTCGCCCTGGTTTCACATCAGAGCACACTGGCCTGGTCTGCAAATTGCTCCCTGCACTGCGGATTATGTGGAATTAAAAGGATTTAAAACACAAGATGTCCTAAGATAAATATCTCCCAAGTTCAGCCAGGCAGTTGCGTAACTGAGTACACTTGTTTTCCAGGGTTGCTTTTCTACTAAGGAAACTCCAGAGTGCCGTGTGTGCTCAGGAGGGTTTTTGTGTCACCTCCCGGGCAGCTGGAGTGGTCACTCACCCAGAGGTGCCCTCGCTGCCCGGCTGCTCCACGTGCCCATCAGATTAGCTCTGTAATCCCTGTTTCCGCTCACCCGGGAGCAGGGCAGGCTGGAAAGCTGCAAGGACAGGCTGCTGGCCCCCGGTGAGGCTCGTGTCGTGCCTCCCTGGTAACCCAAGCCCTGCCCTGCCCAATCTGTGTCAGCTCCTCACTGCCCCAAGGGAAGGAGCTCTGCCTCCCTCCTGCAGCACTCGTTGCCTGGTTGCTGCCCATGGGAGATCTTCAGGATTTTTCTTGGAGTTGGACATCCAGGAGGCTCCTTTCCAGCCCTGAGAGCAATGTGCTCTGAGAGGGCATCTGCAGGGAGGGAGGCAAACACATGTTCCCTCGCTCGCCCTCCGTGCAGGGGGATGGCAGAAATAAAACATTTTAAAGAGGCAAATGTCAAACCAAGAAAGCCACAAACTATTTCAGCCGTGCTTACAATGGCTGTATTTCATCTTGGTGATGAGTCTGAACTGTGTGTTTCCATCTGGGACAGTTACAAATGGCCCTCGAATTCCATATGAGGGAATAAGGACTGGTTTTGCTCTGGAGTAGAAGGAAAGTGCTTGGCTCTAAATGCTGCAGTTCCCTCACACATCTGCCTCGTGTCAGCCTGAGAATGCAACTGTTTCATCAGGAGCTTCATCCCTCTGAGACCAGGGAACAATATGCCCAGGAAACCTCCCTGGCACGGGCACTGTTCTCTTTCTTTTTCCCCATCCCTTCCATCCCCAGGTAGGATGGATTTCTGTCAACAGCAATGTGTAGGACAAGTCTTCCTTGGAGCAGGGAGCTGACAAAACACAGCACTTGAACTGTGGTGCATGAACTCACCCCTCTCCTGACACCTGCCTCGTGGATCTGTTCTCCAGACCATGAGCCAGGCACTGCTTCCTTCTGTCCAACACAGAAATTCTGCTTCTTGAGCTGTTTTAGACAAAACCAGCCCTCCCTGAGCTCTGGTTTGGATTAGCAGACAGTTAGGAATTGTTGCTCAGTGATAGCTGAGCCAGTAAACATCACTGTGTTTCCAAGTCTGGTTATCTCCAGTGCTGTGTCCCCCCCTTCGTTGTGGGGGCTGTTCATAAACACAAATCTTACTTCACTGCTCAGCTATTCTTTGTGCTAATGGCCCCAAGAGCTCCCTGCAAACACCAATTCCTCGGGGAGAACTTGGCTTGTGAGGTGGTGCTGTTGCTTTTTTTTCAGTCATTGTCTGAAAATACTTTGGAACTTAAAAGTCAAGTTGGGACTGAGGTGAGTTGTGGAGCTCAGAGTGGGTCCATATCGATGCAAATATTGCAGGGCCAGAGTCAGGCTGGTGATGCCCTCAGCTGGTGTGTGGTACTCTGTGTTGTAGGACTGAGCTGTTCTTTGGGGCAGCACAGGTTGGACTGAGTGGAGGGACCTAAATATGAAGATTTATGGAAACTCTGGGTCATTGTCTGTGGATTCGAAGTGTCTGAAAAATAAACTTGTGCTTAGATTCAGCTTTTTAGCCCTACAGCTGTTACTGTGAGCCAGCCACGAGCAGGGAGCTGAGCAGTGTAAACCCAGCAGTGGTGGTTTAAAACCCTCCTGTGGGAAGCTGGAGAGTGCCCAGTGAATGTTGTAGAAAGCAAGTGCAGCGTTAGAGGGAAGTTTTCACTGTGGCCCCAAAGCTCTGTCAAGATCAGCAATTGTAAGTTTTGCTTGATATTAAAAGGTAATGAGTTAAATTTGGCCCAAGGGGTGGAAGGGGATAGTGGAGTCCTGAGACAGAAGCCAGGCTGATCATATCACTGAGTTGTTGCTTCTCCAGGGAAGGACTTGGCTTTGTTTCTGTCCATTCCTGAAAGGCTCTAAAACCCAGTCATTCCAATAAGAATCTGAGGCCAAAATACATTGGCATTGCAACTCTTCTCTTAGGCCACAACCTGTGAAAAGGAGTGAATAAATTGGCCTCATTCTTTTAGAGAAAAAGAGGAATTCTGCGATTTTTTGGAGCCTGCGACTGCGGCGCAAACAGACGTCAAAGTCTTCTTGCCCTTGTTTTTTCTCCACAGTCTGCAGAAAACCTTCTGTACGTGCTTATCCTGCTCTGAGTATCTGTGTCTTAACGAAATCCCACCCACTTCTGCTCCCGCCGGTTTCTCCAGCGCCGAACCTGATCCCTCTGGGGTTCAGCGCTCGGTGTGACGGGTCGGTGCCGCTCCGTGACTTTGTGCAGGGCTGGACCCGGAGCCAGGCAGGTGGGGCACAGTTCCCGCAGGTATCAGCTGTGATAGGGTAATAAATAACTGATAAATGTTCCCTTTAAAGCCGGTGTCACGGCACAATGGCTGTTAACTGCGCTCTCCCGGCTTCACCCAGTCTCCCTGCTTGCTGCTTCCAGAGGAACAGTGGAGGGAAAGCCACAGCGTGGGTGCAGGAGGGGTGGGATGGAGCAGTGTCTGCAGCACTGGGATCATCCTGCACCCACCACCTCGGGGTGCAGGAGCTGGAGCAGTGCAGGGGTGATGTTCACCCCACAGGCAGCATTTGGTGTATAAGGAGCCCTAATTTCATTTGAGGGAACGGTGGAGAGACTCTCCGGGCAAGAGCCTTTTTTAAACAAGTTAAAAGACAGGAGTCCCCTTGACGCATGGGGGGAGCGTTCAGCCACCTTGTACCACGTCCAAAGTGCCACCCTGCCCTGTTTGTCCCACGTGAAGGGCTCCCAAAGCCCCTGGCCTTGGTGAGGGGTGTGAGGAGCGACCCCGTGGCCAGCACGTGCTAACAGCAGGCTCTCTTCCTTTGCAGAACGGGCAGGCAGCCCCAGAAGAAGGTGGAAATCTTCCAGCCAAGGTAAAACTGCTCCAGGGTTACATCTCCAGGCCGTCCCCCCGAGGTGGGTGGGGGGTGTGAGCTGACTATTTATAAGCCCTGTAAGCTGCTGCACCGTAATCGGGATGAGCGCACGCGGCAGCGTGAGGGACTGGAGAGGACCAAAAAGAAAGATAAAAACCCCCGTCTTCCCGTCCCTTTGGTCATCCAAACGTGCCTGGGAGGTTTCCCAAAGGGCTGCCTTGGTCCAGCACACGGGAGCAGGACTGGAGGCCGCAGCTGAGGGCGAGAAGTGAGAATCCCTGGGGTGTTTCGGTGCCGTGTTTACGCCTCTCTCTGTGTTGTGATCTTGCCAGATGGGATGAGAAGTGCAAGAGTATTTGATGGTTTTGGCACAGCTGCCCTTGCTGAGTGCCTGGTATCTGTTTATTCTCTTGCCTTGGTGGGGCTGGGAGAAGCTCCACTTCTGCCAAGTTGTCCTTTGCATCCCCATTGGCATCAGCTGGGAATGGCACAGGGAGCTGAGCTGCTGTCTTTGAGCAAGGATCTTAACCTGCTACTCCTTCAGGTGCCTAAAGCTCGTCCTGCCCCACACATGAACAGTGTGGTGCTGAAGGACTTGATTTCTCTGATGTGAGCCCTCCCCAAGCACAGGACTGAGTGCTGATTCTGTCACAACATCCTAACTGAGCCTGTTCCTCTCTGCCCTGCAAGACACTCCAGAGCAGAAGAGCCATTTCAGTACCGTGAAATCATAATCCTTTCAGGATTTCCTTTCCTGATCCATAACACGCTCCAACTGTGGAGAATGACACAACATGTTTGATTTGCCCTGGGCAACCTTGCCAAGCAGGTTGTCAAGAGCTTGTTGTGTGCTGTACCCTCAGCGAGGGCCCTGTGGCAGCTTCTCCCTCTGAATCATCGTCCCTGCTAAAGGCTCTGGGGGCTTGTGGTGTTGTTTTTCCAGTTGGTTACGCTGTATTTTTAGTAAAAGAAATCTCAACCTAAAAACCAGTTGTCTACATTTCAGCCAGGTTTGGGTTTTGGGGTTTTTTTTCCCCCCCTGGAATTTTTGTGGATTTCTAGCAGTGCTGTTGCATCCCACCTGCATGTTCTGCCTTTCTGTCCCACTCGCTGGCCTGGCACTTTTCCAGCAGCCTGCAAAGAAATCTGGTGTGGGTCAGGTGAACTCAAGTCACTGAAACTGTGCATTTCCCTCCCCTGAGAGCAGTGGGTTTATGGTTCCTCACTGTGCCTGCATCTCTGGCATGGGGAAAGAAGTAATCTGTGTCTTCTGGTTGGATTCCAGCCGGGTTTCTAAGACTTGAGACTTTGCCTCTTTCATCTTCAAACACTTGGCTAAACTGCCCTCCCCTAAAAGCTGCTGCAGGATGTTGCTTTAAAAATCATTTAAGATTTTTTTGTTTTCTTTGAAGAACATCACTGAGACAAACCCTGGCTGATTGCATCTGTAGATGCTGCCCCACAGAAAGATCATGAGGTAGAGGCCAAAAAGCACTTGAGGTTCCCTTTGCTGCTCTGTCTGTGGGACACGGACGTGAAGCCCAAGCTGGAGCAGAGCAGTGGGAAAGTTGTCCAACATCCCACAGCAGGGAAGCCACAAGAGCCCTGTGCTGGTGCAGGTGTCCTGCTTTCCACTTTTCTGAGGCACCGTGGCCAAAGTGCCTGTGAGCAGTGTCTGACAATCCCATTTTGGGTAACTTCTGAACACACAAAGCCCTGCTACGTGGTCCTGAAATAACCTCGGCGCCGTTTTCCAAGTTTGTACAAGGTATGTTTGCCGCCAGCACGAGTGAAATCCCTCCTATAAACACATACCTTCAACTTGAGGGCAGACTCTGCCCTGAAATGCTGCAGATGGGGGCACAGGCAGCACCCAGAATGTCTGTGTTTTTCTGTTCACTCGGAGTGTAGACGTCAGCAGCAGCTTCTGGCACTGGCTCTACCCACAGCAAGGGCTGAGGCAGGGGAAGCGAGCGGCCGTCACCATCTGAGGTGACTGTTCTCAAGTTGAAGGTTGCTCAGGCTCCCTCCCACACCCTTCTGTGCTGTGTGTGGAGAGCTGTAGGGGGAAGAGGCACCTTTTTTCCAGGTCTGTACTCGCTATCCTTTTGCGGCTCGTTCTGGGATCTCTTCTAAAAATAACCCAGAGCAGGGACAGCGGCGATTACTCAACACCCACACAGCAGCACCGTCCCTCCCCTGCCCCTGCCAGCAGGATGCTGCCAGGAGTGCAGTCCTTATTTGCCTGGGCAGTAACCAAAGGCACTCTGCATAGGAGGGAATCCAAGAGTTCCTCAAAAGAGTCGGGAACTTCACAGCTGGTGGCGCGAGGCCGCCGGATGCCTCCGTCAGCATCTCACCTGCTGCTGCTGCACTTTGGGGTCTTTGGGCACGAAACACGGTGAAATGGTCACTGCAGAGGTAGTGAGGGGATGTTTTTGGCTGCATTCAGGGACCTTCTTGCTGCTTTTGTGCCTCCAGCTCAGCTTCCTACCCAGGACAGCTGGTGCGTCTCACAACCCGTGGTGGATTCCACCTTTCAAGAACAGTTGTGGTGCACAAGTCCCTGCAAGCCCCGTTCCTTGGTGTGTTCACCTGCGTGTCTTGGGAATGTCTGCAAGATCCTTGTGCTGCTCTGGGCTGGGTAGAGTTAATTTTCTTCATGATGGCTGTGTTTTGGATTTGTGCTGAGAACAGGATGGTCACATCCCTAAAACCGGGATGCTGATCCCACACTGCAGGAACAGGAGCCTTTGGCAAATTTAGGTTCAAGGATGGATTTTTTTTCTCATCCTCTCTGCTGGTGGTGGTGGTTGAAAGGCCAGGGCTGGCTGGCAGCTCTGTGCATTGATCCTGGGTGCTGAGCCTTGTTCTCTCCTGTGTTCTCCAGATTTTAATTGCCAGGTTGGCTGAAATTGGTCCTTGTTGAGCTGGGGAACAGCAACTGAATTCAGTGGGAGAATGGAACCTCTCATATCTGGGGTCTGCCAGCCTGCTCTGCACCCAGGCTGAGGGGTGAGCCCGTGCTCCCTGAAGGTGCCAAGTGTGAGGAATTATGCATGGAAGTACAACACCCAATTAGTGAAATCACTTCATAATGAAGAGCAGAGGAGTGGATTTGCAGTGCTGAGTGAGCCCACACTCTCCCTGGAGGGAACGTGGTGCGGGCTGGGGTTGCTGATCAGCTTGTTCCTGGGTGATAATCACAGAGCACAGTGAGAACTGGGGAAGGGAATAACTGAACTCTTCCAGCTCTGAGCCATAAAAGAGACCTTTGAGACTGGAGTGAGGGATGTGCTCCTGCCCATGAACCAGGCATGTGGTGCCCCACCTGCTCAGGCTGGGCCTGACTGTGGGAATGCAGCAGAGGGGAAGACAAGGCTTTTTCCCAGATCTGTGCAGCTCCTGCTGGTTTATCCTCATGTCCTGACCAGGGAAAGTCTGCAGAAAGGTCCTTCCCTGCTGCATCTTGCAAGGGATGGTGAGGGAGAGCCCTTGTGCCAGCCTTGCACGTGAGCTCCAGGCTGAGAGTGGGACAGGATTCCACTGGTGTCCAGTGGTGTGATCCCTGTCAGAACTGGACACAACTAATCACAGCTTCTTAACATGAAGGGTTTCAAAACAAACAAGTGGCTGCCCTGCAGTGGGCCGTGTGTTTGCACAGCTGCTGCTGCTTTCTCCAAGAACTGGGAAACCGTGGAGCTGTGGGAAGGGGCAGGTTCCTCAGCAAATCCCCTCTCAGCCCACTGCCCCTCTCCTGCTCCTTCCAGCCAAGAGTGCTCTGGCCAAATCTGGCCCCTCCCCTGGCTGGGCAGGACCTGGGATAACCTGGTGGGAGCAGAACATCTCGTGGTGCTGCCTGGAACTCTGCCTTCCCCCTGCCTCGCAGGGGCTGCAGCCACGGCTGCTCTCTCAACGTTTGGCTTTTCCAGCCTGTCAGTGGTAAAGCTCCAAGTTCAAACTGGCTGCTCTGTCCTGTCAGCTGAAGGAATCAAGTGGGTTTGTCTCTCCAGCAGTGCCTGACAGCTCCCGGCCCGTTCCTGGCAGAGCGTTTGCTCTCCGTCCTTGGCGAGGCCAGGCTTGGGGGAACAGCAGCTTCTGAGCTCTTAAAAAACACAAATAAATGCCTGTTTGAGGAGCAGAGTCTCTGATGAGCTGCAGACTCTAATGAATAATTGAAGAGGGGTCAGTTTACAGGACTTGCACAGGAGGAATGCGGCAGAGGCTGGAGCAGTGCTCCAGCAGCCCTCCCACACGGTGCCCCAACCCATCCAAACCACTCCGGTTTCTCCCCTTCCATTTCCACCCCCCTCGTGGGTTCATAGAAGCTGCCTCGTGTTCTGTGTCTAGAAAGCCTCTTTTATTGAAGGAGAAAAAAAAAAATCATGAAAATCGGTTACTTCGTGTTGTACCTGGAGGAAATCTGTGATCCCTCTCTCTGTCAAAGAGCTCCTGATCCCACAGGGAAGTGAGGGATGCTCCTGCCACCCTCTCTTTGCCCAGGCTGCTCCTGGCAGTCTGAGCTGGGGGCACAGGATTGCTGAAGTTGATTTCTTTGTGGATACAGGAGGCAGCGTGAGCAAGGCCAGAGCTCTGCCAGCACTTCCCCAGAGCCACAGAGGAATCACGGGCTACTCTCCCAGACTGAGGGAAAGGGAGATGGAGACAGGGAATGTGGCAGTGGCAGCTCCCTCTGTGCCAGGGACAGTGGTGATGGCTGGCACTGAAGAGGACCTAGAAGAGTTCAACCAGAAGAACTCATTCACATTTGATTTTTGAAGGGATCGGAGTGGGCTTGGGTCCCTGGATCATCCCACCCCAGCAACTGGGAGCTTGGAGTCCCCTTGGCTGGGTTTACTGGGGGTCACTGGCTCTGTGACTCTCCCTGCACACACAAGCAATCTGCCTGAAGCTCTTGCAGCTTTACAAGTCTCAGCTTTATTTGGAAGTGAAGCCTAGTTTGGACACGAGCAGTAAATTCCTTCCATAGCTCCAGG